TGAGTCTCAGCGCCCCTGCAAACATGTCCAGAGGGTCTCCTCTGCTCCCTGCCCCTCAAAGTGCCCCCCGGACTCGCCAGAACATGCCCATGGCATCACTTCCCGTGTTCTGCTTGGCCCATTTGCTCGCTGACCCCTGACACCCCGCTGGCTTCCCAGGTTGGGAGCAGCCCCCGGACCTCCGCCTCCCCCATCAAACCGCAAAGTCCCCGGGTCCGCCCCCTCCCGCCCCTAAAACCTGGGGACCAGGACCCGGCCCCCCCCCAAGCCTGTCCTGGAGGGGGTCCCCGCCATCCCCGCCTCCGGACACTCCACTCCGGGGGAACCCACTCCTCTGTACCCTCCAGGATTCGCTCCTCCCAGTGGCCCCAGAAATCCTGGGGCCCGGAGTTGCCCAGGGGCTCAAAGGATCCGAGGGTCTCGGTCGTCCTCAGGGGAGACCCGGGTTCCTGCAGGGCCCCCACCGCGCGCCCCCTGGGTATCGGGGCCCCCAGGCAGCAGCCCCCGCGCCCGCACCTCCTCCGGGGGGGCCCCCGCCCTCCCCGCGGGGACCCCGCCCGCGCTCCCCGCCCCGCGCGGCGCCCCCGCCCTGCGGGCACAGACCCCGCGGAGCGGCGGCCGCGGGACTGACCTCGGGACCTGCTTCGGTCTGGGCCGCTGGGCAGGGCAGGCGGGCTGGCTCCGCGCGCGTCCTTGGCGCCTGAGCAGAGCCGGCTCCGGAGACGCTCGGGGACGCGGTGGACAAACGCGCGCGAATGAACAGCGCTGAGCCGCTCGGCGTCACGCACAAGCCCCAAGCCCGCCCCCAAGGCCGAGTCAGGTGGTTCAAACCGCCTCTGACACCAGCACCCGCGTCAGAAGGCTCGCGGCAACTTGGTTATTAGCGGGGAGGGTCGGGGGCCTCTGTGTCTGGGTTCGTTAGAGAAACCGAAATAGGAGGTCGTGATGGGCAGGTCTTAAGGGGACGAGAATGACCTTGTGCAGGTCACAAGAGGAAGTCGGTCAGTTCAGTCACTCAGTCGTCTCCAGCCCTTTTGAGAACCCCGTGCACTGCAGCACTCGAGGCTTCCCTGTCCATCACCAACTCCTGGAACTTGCCCAAATTCGTGTCCATCAAGTCGGTGATGCCATCCAACCATCTCATCCTCTGTCTCTCCCTTCTCTTCCTGCCTTCAATCTTTCCCAGCATCTTTCCAATGAGCCGGCTCTTTGCATCAGGTGGCCAAAGTACTGAAGCTTCAGCTTCAGCATCAGTCCTTCCAGTGAACACCCAGGACTGATCTCCCTTTAGGATGGACTGGTTGGTTCTGCTTGCAGTCCAAGGGACTCTCAGTCTTCTCCAACACCACAGTTCAAAAGCATCAATTCTCCGGCGCTCAGCTTTCTTTATGGTCCAACTCTCATATCCATACATGACTACTGGAAAAACCACAGCCTTGACTACATGGACCTTTGTTGACAAAGTCATGTCTCTGCTTTTTAATATGCTGTCTAGGTTGGTCATAGCTTTTCATCCAAGGAGCAAGCATCTTTTAATTTCATGGCTGCACTGACTATCTGCAGTGATTTTAGAGCCCAAGAAAGCAGTCTGTCACTGTTTCCACTGTTTCCCCATCTATTTGCCATGAAGTGATGGGACCGGATGCCATTATCTTCGTTTTTTGCATGTTGACTTTTAAGCAGCTTTTTCACTCTCCTCTTCCACTTTCATCTAGAGGCTCTGTAGTTCCTCTTTGCTTTCTGTCATAAGGGTGTTGTTATCTGCATATCTGAGGTTATTAATATTTCTCCCGCCAATCTTGATTTCAGCTTGTGCTTCATCCAGCCTGGCATTTCACATGATGTAGTCTGCATATAAATTAATGAAGCAGAGTGGCAATATACAGCCTTGATGTACTCCTTTCCCAGTTTTGAACCAGTTTGTTTTCCCATGTCTTGTTCTAACTATTGCTTCTTGACCTGCATATGGATTTTTCAGGAGGCATGTCAGGTGGTCTGGTATTCCCATCTCTTGAAGAATTTTCCACAGTTTGTTGTGATCCACACAGTCAAGGGCTTTAGCATAGTCAATGAAGCAGAAATAGATATTTTTCTGGAATCTCTTGCTTTTTCTATGATCCAACAGATGTCAGCGATTTGATTTCTGGTTCCTCTGCCTTTTCTGAATCCAACTTGAACATCTGGAAGTTCTCCATTCATGTAATGTTGAAGCCTAACTTGGAGAATTTTGAGCATTACTTTGCTAGTGTGTGAGTTGAATGCAGTTGTGTGGTAGTTTGAACATTCTTTGGCATTTCCTTTCTTTGGGATTGGAATGGAAACTGACCTTTTCCAGTCCTGTGGCTACTGCTGAGTTTCCCAAATTTGCTGGCATATTGAGTGCAGCTCTTTCCCAGCATCATCTTTTAGGATTTGAAACAGCTCAGTAAGAGTAAGTAGTGGTTCTAAACTTGTGCTTAGACTGGGAAGAAATGCCACACAGGTAGAAACGCACCTATGTGTTAATAGCATGTGCATTGGACTCAAACACAAAATATCTTTTACAGTGTGCATCGCGGTCATGGTAGTTCAAGGGTTTCCCTCCTATTCTAACTGTTCTCACACCCTCACCCATACTGATTTCAGTTTGGCCTCTAATCAGTTCGGGGTCAGTCATCTTTTTCGGCAAGGGTGTGTGGCAGGTATTTTAGAATCCTGGGCCATCAGGCCATTGCAGCTGCTCCTCTTTTGCATGAAAGCATCCCAGACAGCACCTACAGATGAGTGTGGCTGTGTCAACACACCCTTATTTACACAAACAGGCTCTGGGCTGGATGGTCATAGTCTGCCCACCTCTGACCTGGAGAATTTTCTGTACCAGCTCCTGCAGTACATAAAGCCAAGCTGCTCTCTGGCAAAGGGGCAGTTTGCAGAGAAAAGTGAACAGATAAACTGCTTTAAAGAAAGAGATATTTTATGAAAATTTGAATCCTATGAATTGAAAGAATGTAACATACAAATAGGCACATAGTGTGGAATTTGGCAGAAAATTTTAAATGGTAGTGTTCTTAAAAAGCTCCTCTGAGCCATGCTTTTCCCTCCAATAAATTGGGGATCATATTAGCTCATATTTCCTAGGACTCTGGAGACAGTCACATGAGATCATTTATGTAAAGTGCTCAGCATCATTCGTGACAGGCGGAAGCACCCAGGACATGTTACCATTTATCTCACATCAGCAGTAACTGGTTAATCTGGCCCAGGCAGGGGAGGTATCCTGTGGGCAGAGCACTGGGAACCCTGAGATTCAAAGTGCCCAGAGGACCTTGCATGGACCCAAGAGTCCCCAAGACCCACTGATGAGATTGCTCCATGAGACTGTGCTCCCTCAGGCTCTCACAGCAGCGGGCCCAGAGCCTCACTTCTGGGGGCTACAGTGTGAAGTCATTCTGATAATCTAAGAGATCTAAAGCATTTTCCTGGTGGCTCATTGGCGAAGAATCTACCTGCAGTGCAGGAGATGCAGGAGTCGTGGGTTTGATCCCTGGATCAGAAAGATCCCCTGAGGAAGGAAATGGCAACCCACTCCAGTATTCTCACCTGCAAAATTCCATGGATAGAGGAGCCTGGCGGACTACAGTCCATGGTGTTGCAAAGAGTTGGACACGACTGGGCACTCAGCACGGCACAAAAGATCTAAGCCAGTCCTGACACAGATCCTTCAGTGACCACAGAAACGCGCTGTATCTGTGGTGTCCAGTGTGGTAGCCACTGGCCATTTTGGGCCACTGAAATGTCCTGGATTCCTTTACATTGAAGGATCCACATGAAGTTATTGTGCTGGAGGCAAGAAAATTAAACCCGGATCCCTGTTAAATGCAATTCCGCGGTCACTGAAGGGTCTGTGTCAGGACTGACTTCCTGGGCACTTTCTATCTGCCAGGTGCAGTGCTGAGCACTTTACATAGACGAGCTCGAGTAAACTTCGCCAGAGTCCTATGAAATAGGAACGAAAATGACCCCCAACTTATAGGAAAGATACCCAGGCTCATGAAAGCTGTTTTTAAAGGTGGTTGTTTCAAATTTTGCACATATATCAAGAATATATTACTATTATTATGTTTTACTTCATAGGATTTAAATTTTCATAAACTATATACTTTTTTAAAAAGCATATCTGTTCACATTTCTGCCCAACCTGCACTTTTTTCTTAGAAGAGAACTACAGTCTTTAATGGGGATGTCCATGCATCATAACCAACATGAACCTTGTAATGAGGGATGCACATGATTGTGTGGAGCCCCTTTTCCAAAAGTCCCATATAAAGTGACCTCTCACCTACCTGTTTGGACCAGTTCCTCCCAGCTCTCCAAGAAGCTGTCTCCTGGGCTATAATCCCCACTAAATCCCCAGATAAAATGGAAACTCTCACGTATGTGTTTTCACCTCAGTGAACACCTCCTGTGGATTTTGTGGTGGTGGTTGTTAACTGGCACTATTGTGGCTACAGATACGTGCTACACACATATTCCAAGTATTTCTGCAGCATCCGAAGAGGTAAGTGAAGGGAGTGTTGGAAGGTCTGAGTGTTGAAAGAGGCTCTTTGACCCACAGTTGTGTGACCATCTGGGAATCTCTCCGTGTCCACCTCTGTGAGGTGGATACCATGATGGCTAAGGGCGTAGACTCTGGAGCCAGCCTGCCTGGGTTTGAATGTGGGCTTAGCTCCTTGTGATCTGTGTGACCTGAAGCAAGTGAGGTGGACTCTCTGTTCTCTTATCTCAGAACGCCCTGGCCAATGAGCTGTGAGGAACAGGGACCTGGGCTTCCTGTAGGAGTCGCCCTTTGAAGGACTGAAGCCTGTCTTCCCCTCTCCTCATCCCCCCACTTGCCCCGCACCGGAATGTGGCCTGGGTGTGGGGGTGAGCCCTCTCCAGCCACGTGGCCCAGAGCACCGAGGTCCAAGGACCCTGGCGTTGCCCCGCCCCGGCCCTGGGAGTTTCACACACAGACCACAGCCTTGGGGGAGACAGCAAGTTGGGTTTATTGAAGCCGCCATGTTGGGGGCTTCACATCACAGAAGCCCAGCATGCATGTTTGGGGGGCGCGCGGGGGGCCGGAGCGGGGGGCCGGGGGCCCTCAGGATTCAGGAGATGTAGAGGACGCTGAGGCAGCACAGGGGGCACTCCCAGGCCTGGATCTCCCGATACTTCGCGCGAGGCTTCGAAGGGGAGGTGTACTTGGAGCCAGCTCGCGAACTGCCCGGAGAAGGTTGCGAATGGAACTCGGAGTCGTTCGAATCCATGTAGAAGGTGAAGCAAAAACCCGGCTGGAAGGAAAGAAAGACAACACAGAGGAGACAGGAGAACTTTAGTGCCCTGGGGGGAGGGGCCCCCGCCCTTAGTTTGAGGGGCCGAGCACGGACTTCAGGGGCGACCCATCTGGGGTTGCATTCCTTCTTCGCCCACTACAGCTGGGGATCCTGAGGCAGATAACCTGCCCTTCCCTGGCCTCAGTTTACATTTCTGTATAATGGACTATAAGTAACTGTTCCCTCACAGAGGCGCGTAAGGACTGAACGAGGTAATCCAAAAAAAGGATCATTAAATGTAACAATGTTTGCCGCTTTGTGAGAGCTGGAAACTCGTCAGCTGTGACAATGTTTGCTTTGCTGGTTTTCTTAAAACCATCTGCTTTCCTAAAAAATTAAACACTTCTTCCCAATAGAAAGCATCACCCACAGTGCTGGCAGTATTGAAGCTGTAGTGATTTCTGGGAGGACTACTATTTCTATCCAATGATTATTGAGCATTTAGGCCGCTTCAGCCTGAATGACATGTCAGGTCCCATTTCATCCTTAGGAGGAGGCCTCTGATCTTATTTCTCCATCCTGAAGATGAGGAAATAGGGGTAGAGAGGCACTGGTAAGGTTTCCCACTCTGACATTTGATCAGATGTATAGGTGGGGAACATGCTGCAGTCAGGATTAGAAGTGAGTACATAACCTTCTTGATTCTCCAGGTAAGAATACTAGAGTGGGTTGCCATGCCCTCCTCCAGGGGAGCTTCCCAACCCAGGGATCAAACCTGTGTCTCCTGTATTGACATGTGAGTTCTTTATCACTAGCACCACCTGGGAAGCCCATTCTTCCAGGTAAGCGCAGCACAGATGTGAACACACTTCATCCTCCTGGTAACCTCATGTGGGGTTCCTACTGCCCTGTTTCACAGATGAGAAAACTGAGCCACAGAGGAGTTCAGGAACTGGCCCCAGTTCCCACAGCTGGTAGTGGCTGAAGCTGGGTTTGAACCTAGTGCTGAGACTCTGTAGTTGGGGCGCTTAGCCTCAGAGGGCTGGGATGCCAGCTGGGAGGCTTGGGGTGGGCAGGACGGTGTTCCTTCCACATGGTGCCATCACCTCTGCAGAACCATCCTTCCGCTATTCCCGGGTTACCAGCCCTTCCCACTTGTGACATTTGGGGTCCAGATCCTTCTTGCGGTGGGTGGGGCAGAGGCATCCTGAGCATTGCAGGAATGCTAAGCAGCATTGCAGGAATGCTAAGCAGCATTCCTGGCCACCGGATGCCATTAGCTCGACCCCTTCAACTGTGACAAACAAAAATGTTTCCAGACATTGAAGGCGTTCCCTGAGGGACAAACTGCCTCTGGATGAGAATCATCACCTCGTCCCTTCTTGTGTTCTCCAGGTTTGGGGAAAGGGAGGGGTCATCTTCCCCTCGTATTCCCATGATCAGGTGACCTGACCTGGGGCCACTGAGGTCCTGCATCACCTCAGCTGATGACTGGTTCCGTGGAGGACACAGGACCTGGAAGGACCAATCAGAATGCTCTCTGCTTCTAGGTTATTTAGTGGGTCTACAAGTGTCTCTCCAATGAGTTCCTATTAGAAATAGGAAAGCCATATATTATTCAGAAAAGAAATGGACCAGGCATCTTGGCCCAATGGATCAAAACTCGCATCACCAGTGATGGCTCACAGACCTCATGTGCATCAAAATGTGATATTCTGAGAAGGACACGGCATCACTTAGGTGGTGCTCCAGAGATCATAGCTTATCCTGAATCTCATTCACAGGGAGGTGGTCAAAAATACACCCAATAAAGCACAATATGGGATGGGTGTGACTCTGAACTTCAAAATGGTCAGTGCCATAAAAGGCAAACAAGGCTTAGGAGACTGTCCAGCTTAAAGAAAACCACAGATATGTTACTAAGTACAATCCCTGCCCTAGACTAGACCTTGTGTTGGAGGGAAAAGAGTGCCAAATGGACAGTATGTAGCAATTTATTAATATCAAAACCGGTACAGGGATAAGATGAAGTGTGTATCAGGGTTGAATGCAGGAAGATGACAATAGCCCCCCCCCCTTTATAATAGAATATTGTATTTCTAAGGCAATCCACACTTAGGTATATTATGTGTATATATACTGTAATAAATATACATATATAGCAGCAGCATATTACATTTTATTAAAGAAAATATGTAAATTTTAAAAATGTTAGCAATTGGCGAATTTGGATAATCTTCATATCGTCTGTGACTCTTACTTTCTTTTCTAATGTAATTTCTAAAGAGTCCTCCCCGGGACTGCGGCAGGCACTAATAGGAAAGCCGTTCTCGCAGGCATCTGACCCAGGGCCTCCCCTGACCTCTCCCCACGGGCCCCGCTGGTTCTCACCAGGGTCCCTCCAGCCTCGCCTCCTGCCTGTTAAGACGCCCAGAGACAGAGCCGACGCCTCATTGGCCAAGGGTGAGTCACGTGCCAGCCCAGGACCAATCACAGGGAACCTTGGCACGGCCGGCTCTGATTGGTCAGGGGCGTACCTGGCGCTGGTCTGAGGATGGGATCAGATCCACCCAAAGTGCGTGGAGACAGGGGATCCCCCCAGAAAAGTCAAGGGGGTTAGTAGGAGGAGGAGGACTGGTACCCAGGGGGACACGGCCGCAGTTGCCTCCACAGGAGGGACCGTTCCCTAATTCATTGCTTCATTTAATCAGCCCGAGTGTATACAGTGCCTGACATGGGCTACATCTGATCTAGATAGGGGGATATGTCACTGCACAATATGGGGGTCCCCGCTGACATCCTCCCACTGAACTACTCTCATAAGGGAGACAGATTAGGAACAAATAGATAAATGGTATAATCTCAAGTAGCAATAATAATGCTGAAGAAATTCAGCAAGGCAAGGGGTTGGGGAGGCAGTGTTCATGGAGGAGGTGACACAGGAGCAGAGGCTGGAATTAGCAAAGAGAAGGAGGCAGGAAAGAGGGCAGCACCCTCAAGGAAAACCATCCCCCCCCCCCACAGGATGGGGCCACATCCGGGACGAGGGAGGGGCAAGGGGCACTCAGGCACCCAGGTCTCTGCTGGGTGGAGACGGTGGCCGATAAGCCTGACCTCTCAGGCCCAGGGTTCTCTGGTCAAAGGAGAAAACAAGCAGACTCACCATGGGGCACGTTGGCACCCGTTTGGCTGACACTCTTGCATTCTTTCTGGCGGGCTCGCTTCGCTGACCAGTAGTGCTCTCAAAAGGCAGGGCTGAGCGAGGAAGAAAGAGGCATGAGGCCGTCTTGCCCACTGAGGCTTGAGAAACTCGACAATAATAAAATGTTCATCATGAAACCAGTGACCATGGCTAATACGTGTGGAGTACCTGCTATGTGTCAGGCACGCCTTTAAATAGTTTGCAGGTACTAGCTTGCTTGGTTGTTCATGATAACTCTCTGAGATGGGCACTGTATTCATCCAACTTTAGAGATTAGGAAACACAGAGGTTAGGACGCTTGCGGGAGGTTGCACAGCAGTGACTGCAGAGATGCATGAAGTTGCACCCTGAAGGTCCCCAGGGAACAGACAGGGAATGTCAGCGAGTGGAGAGGCTGGCGTTAGACAACAGGGGCTCTGGAGATAGTGGCACCCTGGGGTACCCGTGCCCAGGAGGAAGGCACAGCTGATAGGCAGGTGCCAGTGGGGCACGTCTCTCCAGAAAACACTTGGGTTTTCCCGAAGAAGACAGACACGTCGGTTTGGAGTGAAAGTTCCTGCTATTTCAAAGCTACCCACAAATCCATCGATTTCCTTACAGGCTCCTCCGCTCCTGGGAATGGAAGCCAGCCTCTGGAGGACTGTCCTGGCCACCTGTGCAAACGTCCCCTCAGATGCTGCCATCTGCCTTTTTAAACATATAGTCCTGGATCCACTCCCCTGTGTGCTGTCTGGCCCAAGTATAGTCCTATTTCTACCTGCATTTATTGTCATCGTCAAAGACTGGGAATAACCCAAATGGCCACCTGCAGGGACCTGGTTAAGTTTCCCTGATGGTTCAGTGGTAAAGAACCCGCCTGCCAGTGCAAGAGACACGGAGCCCTGGGTTCAATCCCTGGGTCAGGAAGATCCCCTGGAGGAGGAAATGGCAACCCACTCCAGTATTCTTGCCTGGAGAATTCCATGGACAGAGGAGCCAGGCAGGGTTACACTCTGTAGGGTCACAGAGTCGGACACGACTGAAGCAACTTAGCACACACACGGCACAGACAGACCGTGGAATCCCAGACAGCTGGAACACAAACCAGGCATCTTGTGGGGGAGGGTCCTCGAGATGGATGGGGGACATGGTGCTTAAGGTCAAAGACCCCCAGGCCAGATGGGTTCAGATCCCACCGTGAGCTGATTATTCACACTGTCACCCTTCAGATTTCCCATCTGGAAAACAAGGTAATTCCTGACCCTCCCTTATTGTGAAGCATGCGTGACTGGAGGTGTGGAAAGCCTTGGACTGTGACTGGAAGATTCTCAGTGTCAGAGCAGAAATAAATGAAACAAGACACTGTAGGAATGAATGGGGCCAGTCTTCAGGGTCCACGCTTCCCCCCATCAGTTTTTCCCTGAGACCTCCCCACTCCCGCATGGCTTCCTCCTCACTGGGTCTCACCTCTTCTCTGCGGAGGCCTGGTCTGCACCTCCTCCCTTCCCCGGCCCCCGATGGTGCTCAGAGGCAGCATGGTGACCCCACTGCTGCTCCCTGCGGACAGGAGACAGAGCAGTCAGTGCCTGGGCGGTGGAGCCAGGGGGCCCGGGTCTGGCTCTCGGAGGTCGGCTGGACTCAGACAGCCCCATCCCCTCCCCACGTCTCCAGATCCCCAGCATCCAAGGGGACGTGTTGGCAATGCCTCCTCCTGGTTTCCTCCAAGGCCCAGGGTGTGACCTGGGGAGAGCGGTTGTCATGGCGCCCGGCAAGGACAAGGGCAGGGCTCGTGGTACCTGGGGCTTACCCCCTTTAAAACTAGCAAAACTGTGACATGAAGGGCCGGGACCAGGAAGCTGCAGCTCGGCTCACTGGGCACCAAAGGGGCCTCTGGGGCCTGGCATACAGCAGGCGCTCCGTAAGTGCACGCGTGAAGCAGTCCCAGTGCTGTGCTTCAGCTCCGCCCCAGGGTTACCAGGCAGCCTGACCGAGGGGTTCAGACAGGCCCGCCCCTCCTGTGCTCCGCCCATCCAGGTACAAAGCATCAGTCCCGCCCTCAGGGCCGAGGTGAAGGGGCGGGGCCTCAGACCCCCAGCACAGCCCTGGGGCGGGGCCAGCCCTGCAGGGAGGGGGCTCAGCACAGGCTCAGTGTGGGGACCCCACCTCCGCCCCAGCATCACCCTGGGCAGGACCTGGGCTATGTGTCTGGGGAGTGGACCTGGGGGAATTCCAGCCTGCTAGTCACTAACTGGGGATCTCAAGATTCAACAACAGCAACAAGAAACACACAGGACACTGAGATTTGAGTTTCAGACACACAGATCATTTCTGAGCATAAGTGTCTGCGAACACTGCATGGGACATGTCTCTACGTGACATAATTCATTTTGTATTTATTCTGCTAAATTGTGTTTCAGTATTGGCAAGGCCCATGGAATATTTGGGACGTACTTACACTAAAAGATAATTCATTATTTATCTGAAATTTCAGCTTAAGTATTTATCATGTATTTTACCTGGGAAGCCCCAGTTTGGGGGTATTTAACCTCTTGCGCTGTCCGCTTTCCCCTCCACAAAATGAGCAGAATGATGAAACGTGAGGATTAAGTAGGATTAAACGCATGTCAAGTATGGAGAACACAGTCTGACCCAGACTCAGGCAGTCCTGTGTTGGATCCACCTCTATCGCTGTTGGGGGTGGTCAGGAGGCCTCCCCCCACCGCCTCCCACCCACCTTCCCTGAATCACTGTCTCTGACGCTGGGACCCTCCAGCCTGACCTCGGACCTCCCCAGCACCCCTCCCCATCAGTCCAGGGCCTCATCCTGGGCCAGGTGGTCCGGGGAGAGAAACCCTGCAGGAGGGAGAAGCCCGCGGGTCCGCTGAGGCCCAGGGGCAAGGGGCGGGTCACCGGGTCAGGGGGGTTCAGAACTGGGGCGGCCCTCCGGGGCCCGCAGAGCTGGGACGACCCCCCAGGAACCTGGTGGCCTCCTCGGGGCCTCTCCCGCACTCTGGCTCTCCATGAGGCGCTCCAAGACTCTGAGGCACCCGGGGCGCCCAGAGGTGTGTTCGAAAGACGGAGTTACCAGAGGTGAAGACTCAAGCCGCCGTGTGCCCGCCGGCCCCGCCGGCCCACCCCGGACCCCCGGGCCCGGCGCCTCCCCGGAGGCCGCCCCCCTGGGAGGCGCTCCCCCTCCCCGCAACCAGACATGACCCCCCAGAATCCCTGGAGGTCGACAAGCCCGCTTCCAAGACCTCACTCAGTCGCGCATCATCCTGGGCGTCCTCAGAGGACCTCCAAATGCCTCCAGAAGTTCCCCTGCCCCAGACTCCCCTCTGGACTGCCCCCCAGAAATAATATCTGGATGTTCTCTTTGGTCAGGGCTGTGCCTGGACCCACGATCCCCACCTGACCTCCCCTAGGTCCTGCAGCGCCCCCCAAGGTGCCACCTCCTCCCGCAAACCAAGAAGTCCACAGGTCTGCCCCTTGTGCTCCCTAAAACCTGGGGACCAGGAGGGGGTCCCCGCCACTCCCTCTTGTAGACACCCAAGCCTCCTCTCCCCGCTGCAGTCTTTGTTCCTCCCGTGACCCCAGAAACCCTCAGACTTGGGAGGGGCCGGGGGGCTCAGAAGGTGAGGCCGCCCTCAGGGAGAACCGGTTCCTCAAGGGGCCCCACCGCCCGCCCCATCGGGTCTCAGCGGCCCCCAGGCCGCGCCCCTGCGCCCCACCGCCCAGGAGGCCCCCGCGCATCCTCCCTGGGTGCACCCCCCCGTGCTTCCCGCGGAGACCCCCGCAGCGCCATCCTGCCCGAAAGTGAAAGGCGGAGACCCTTCAGGGCCGCGGCCGCGAAACTGACCTCGAGACTGACATCGCGACCCGGGTCTCTCTTCGACCCTGGGCACGAGCGGGATGGGGGGCCCGGTGCTTTTCCTTGACGCCCGGACAGGGCTGGCTCTGGGGATGCCCGCGGAGCCTGTGGACAAACCGGAGAGAATGAATGCGGCTGGTTGCTCGGCGACACAAGCCCCCTGCCCCTGCCCCCAAACCCCAAACGTTGTTAAGTCAGGTGGTTAACACAGTCTCTGACACCCGCACAGGCGTCGGAATGTTCACCGCAATTTCATTATTCATGGGGAGGGTCCCGTGCCTTTTCGTCCAGGAAGACCCCCAGCCTGCCAGCATCACTGTCCCTCTTCTGAGGCGTCCCTACTGGACCTCAGCGCACGGCCCCTCCCCCAGTGCCCCTCCCCCACTGTCCAGGCCAGGCCTTCCTGGGAAAGGCAGAGAGGCTCAGGCTTCAGAGATCCAGGGGTGCGGGGCGCTGGGGACCCCTCGGGGGTGGGGGGAGGGGTGGGTTCTGCAGGATCACAGACACACAGTGACTCCCTCCCGCACTGATCCCCTGCCTGGGACTCACAGGGGACACTCAACAACTCCCAGACACACCCCTGGCCCCAGAGTCCCACGTGTGCGAATGAAGACGCACTTGTAGATCCTGAAACACACGCAGATGGGCAGTAACAACCTGAGATTCAGGAATGCTCAGGCACATGCACACACACAAACACACACACACAGATGTGCAGATACACAGAGCTTCAAATACTGGGCACTTCTAGGCACACACACTCAGGACACACACGTTTGCACACTCAGATCTCAAAGGACACCCTATGGGACACTCAGACCACCTCTGTCTGACACCCAAGGGTCCACCCTCAGTCTCATCCGGGGGCCCATCTCCCCAGAGGCCGCCCCCTCTCAGACCCGCCCCTGACCCCATTTTACATTCCGCTTTACACTCTCTCCAGATGGTTTTCTTTAAACCTCAGAATCACTCCTTTGGGAGTATAGGCTTGGAAAAAATTGAAACCTACGAGGAAATCAAATCAGACAGATATGCAGAGAGACACCCTGGCGTGTCTCTCTCAGACACCCTCAGAGAAACCCAGGCGTGCACGCAGACACACACATACCCACACCCACACCGCAGTCACAGACATTCCTGCAAAATCAGAGACAACCCCTCAGCTCGCGGGCCTTTTGGAAACACTAAGACCCGCTCACAAACCCACACACACAAACGTGCAGATTCAGGTTCACGGAGCTTGAAAAAGCAGACAACCCGGGCAGACACACACAGACACACGCACGTAAGAACTTGCAGAAACACCTATTTTCAAACAGATACTTTGGACACGGGGGCATAAAGACACAGACGCCCGGGCAGACACGTTTGCAAAGACAGAATCGGCCTCCAGACACAGGATCCCCTCGGGCTGGCCCCCGGGGCAGACCCTGGGTCTCCCCCAGAGGCCGCCCCCCTCAGAGGCGCGCCCCCGGCGCTCTCCCAGCCCCCGCCGGTCGCAGGCGCGGGCGCGCAGACACCCGAGGCTCCAGAACACTCCGGCAAGCGCGCTTCTCGCCAGCTTGCTCCGGTGCCCCCGAAAGGCTCCGGAGGGGCTCCTCGCCCCTCCGCGCCCCCCCAGGCTCCCCTCTAGGCTCCCCCAAGTCAGCCTCCTGGGCTGCCTCCGGCCGTTCCGGGAGGAGCCCCCGGCCCCGCCGCCTCCCCGGAGCGCCTGGTCCGCCATGGGAGCCGCGCGGCGCGCAGACCGGCCCTCGTACCTCCTGGCGGCTCCGGGCCGGGCGCCTGCTCCTCCTGCACCTGCCCGGGGAGGAGGCCCAGCCAGGCCCTCACCCGCACGGCCCAGTCCTCCTCGCTGCCCTCCAGCCTGCTGTCTTGCTGGCGGCCCGAGGAGCCCTCGGACCACGAGTCGCCTGCCTTGCGCCTCAGAAGGGTCTGAGGACTGCGGCCGTCCTCGGGGAGCCGCGGGCTCCTCGGGGGGATCCCCGGCGCGCGCGCNTGGATGCCCGGGAGTGGGGGTGGGGAGGGCCGGGGGCCGGGGGCCCGACCCGGGGGCCCGCCCTGCACAATCATCAGATACAGTGACCCCGCAGGCTCGCCCACACACTCAGTGCTGCTCACAATGTCCTACTCGCAAACCCCCAAGATGTCCCCTCAACCTCCCAGGCCTGCTGGTGACAACTGAGACCCACTTGGTGGATGGGCACATGCGTGGGGAAACACACCTCGCCTGGGCTGTCCGTTAAGGATGGTCCCTGAGTGCATGCTCAGGTGCGTCCAACTCTTCCGACCCCATGCGCTGTAGCCCGCCAGGCTCCTCTGTCCATGGGGTTCTCCAGGCAAGAACACTGGAGTGGGTTGCCATTTCCTCCTCCAGGGGGTCTTCCCCACCCAGGGATTGAACCCATGTCTCCACGGGCAGGCAAATTCTTCACCACTGAGTCACTGGAAAGCCCAAGGATGCTCACTGGCCAGACCTTAATCAGATGGACTCTTGGGACAAGAAGTGAGCAATGCTGTCTTCCCTTCAGGGAGCAGGATTCCAGCTGAGATTCAGGGCTTTCATGTCCTGGAAGGAAGGGGGAATGGATCGAGGGGAGACTTGTTTCAGCAAGAATGGTGAAACTCTCCAACAGGATAAAATATTGTACAGAAAGGAGTACATCTCATTCCCCTCCAGCTCTCCTGGCTGTGCTTCCTATTGAAGGTAACCTCCACTAGCGTTAGCCAATTTCCTATCTGTGCTATCAGAGATAAATATGTATTCATTTATTTGTATGCTTAATTGTAGGTTAATTTATGTTTATTTATGCATGTTTATGCATGTGTATATTTAAATAAAAACAAGTGCATTTCATCTGCCCCATCCCTGTTTCTTTCTTTAACATGAATGATATCCTACCATACACACTCTTGCTTTTTTTTTAGCTAACAAATGAATATATTTTAGAAATTTTGTCATATCAGTCTATACAGTACTGCCTCATTCTTTTTAACAGCAGTAGACTATTCCACTGAGTGACTTTACCATGATTTGTATAACCAGTGTCCAAAGGCTGGACGTTTAGGTGGTTTCTGGTCTTTTGAAAGTGTGCCATTGCATACAATGGGAAGCTCATCAGCACAGGTTTTAGAGCAGAAAGTACTGTGTCAGAGTATATGTACATTTCAAATTTGGGAGCAGCTCTTTCCAAACCGCCCTTCACAAAGAGGACCAGAGGAGACTGACTAACAGCACGTGTGGACAGGCCAAGTCCGTATATAGGAGCACATTTTAAAATCTTTACTGAAAGCTGGGTCAAAACATGATTAGAAGCAGTTTCATTTCTTCATTCTTAATTACTGTTTCCACTCTCCCAACTTCCGATTGGGTGGTTGGTCTTTGTCTTATCTATTTATAAGAGTTCTTTCCATATTAAGGATATTGGTCTTGTCTATGTAATGTGTACTAAAATTACCTTTGATGAGTTTCTTATTCGTACACCGACTTTCTTCATGGTGTCGGTAAAATATTTTCAAATACATGAATGAATAACTTAATTGACCATCAAGTTCCAAGCTTGATCTGCAAATCAGAAGTCATGGGCAGCGCTGCATTCCTGGACATGAGGGAATGGGTGAATATGAAGGCAGCTTGAAAAACCTCAGACATGGAGGTCAATTAAATATTTGCAGATTTAAACACACACTCCTTGCACTTGCTAAGACTTTCTAGGCTCTAATTCAATTTAACCCACCCTAAATTAAATGAACCCTTATAAACCCACTGTTGTGTCTCCCAAATCATTCCCACCTTGGAACCCAGCGCCTCTGGTGGCTCAGGTCAGAATCCATGAAGCCATCCAAGACGCTCACCTTCCCCTCGGTCTTCCACATCCAATCCCTAGCACACCCTTTGGCTCAAGCTTTCATCTTTGAATCCTGAAGCTATACAGAAGCAGTGATCAGTCACCTTTCTTTTCAAAGATCTCATGGCAAGATTTTTAGCCTTTCTGGGCAGATAAGTCTCTGTCGCGGCTAAAGGACTTTGCCTTTAAGCAGCCCAGACTGAAGGAAGAAATGGATGTGGCTGTGCCAAAAAGTCCTTACTTGCGCAAACAGGCTGTGGGCTGGACGGCTGTAGTCTGCCCACCTCTGACCTAGAGAGTTTTCTCTGTCAATTCCTGCAGTAGACAAAGACAAGCTGCTCTCTGGTGAAAGGGCAGTCTCGGCAGAAATGTAAACAGCTATGCTTTATTTCTTTAAAGATATATTTTATGAAAATTTGAATTCCATGAGGCTGAAAGAGTGTAACATGAAGAGTAGCCAGAGAGTCCTGATTTACATTCAGAAACTGAAATAATAACTTTAAAAACAGCTCTCACGAGCCTCGGGTTTCTCCCCTATAAATTGGGGGTCATATTAGTTCCTACTTCCTAGGACTCTGGTGAAGGTTACATGAGATCATCTGTGTAAAGTGCTCACCACCACACGTCACAGATGGAAGTGCCGGGAAATGTTAACATTTGTCGAACGTCATCAGTAATCAACTGGTTAATATGGTCCAGGCAGGGGAGGTGTCCTGCAGGCCGGGCACCAGCCAACCTGACTCAAAGTGCCCAGAGGACCCTGCGTGGAGCCAAGAGTCCCCAAGACCCACTGATAAGATGCTCTGTAAGACCGCACTCTTTCGGGAGCTCACAGTGCCCTGTCCAGATCCTCGTTTTCCAGGGGCTATAGTGAAAGTGAAAGTCGTTCAGTCGTCTCCAACTCTTTGCAACCCCATGGACTATACAGTCCATGGAATTCTCTAGGCCAGAATACTGGAGTGGGTAGCCTTTCCCTTCTCCAGGGGATCTTCCCAACCCAGGAATCGAACCTGGGTCTCCTGCATTGCAGGCGGATTCTTTACCAGCTGAGCTATCAGGGAAACCGTAGGGGCTCTGGTGTGATAATTCTGATAACCTAAGCCATCTAAGCCAGTCCTGACATAGACCCTCCAGGGACCATAGAAATGTTCTTTATCTACCGTGTTCAGCGTGGTAGCCACTGGCCACATCTGGCCACTGAAATGTAGCTGGCGGGGCTGAGAAATTGTTTTGAACTTAATGTTTAATTCATTTACATAGAAATGTCTTTTTTTGACAATCACAGGTTTCTGATAATCTTCAACTCATACCACTGAACTGAGTAAGAAATTGAAGAATTCTAATGGAGAAGCTGATGGCTTCATAAACTGCTAACAGAAGTTTAAGATCAACAAGGATTCATTACACAGGACCGAGTGAAGGGATGAATATCCTTTCAATTTTTACGGCTTTTTGTCTGAAATGCTGGCTTTAATCTTTGTTTTCTAGACGTAGGGAAACATTTCGCTTTCATTTAGTTATGACAGCAATTTGGTAAATTATACCTTTGTAAGCCGAAGTGAAACATTTATATTGTCTCTCTACCTGATCCTTCCAGAATTTGGAAGCTCTTAGCAAGTATTCTTATCTGCATAAATTCAATAAGAATCTCTTCTTTAATAGGGTATAAATGGAAAAATAGTTGAGAATATGCATAGAGTATAACCAGACAGCTTTAAAGAACCTAGGTGAACTTTAAGGAGTCACAAAGCTCCTAGGAAACATAGCCTGGTACCTTGCTTCAGAGTTCCTAGCAGCACTCCCAGGTAAACAAGGAACGACAGCTGCTGGCAGACGCAGGAAACTCGGTGTACGTTGGAGGCCTTCCTTGAGAAGACAGGAAACCCCCCCAAATCTGAAGATTCTGCTATGAAATCTGACTCATCTATGGCGAGGACTGCTGGCCTCCAATCATCTCACAACCATGCTCAAACGCAGGAGATATTATTCTCAGACCAGGAAAAAAGGAGATGGCATCAGAAGTAGACAGCTATCCCAAGAGGCCAGACCTGACCCATGTGAGGTGAAAGTGTTAGTCACCCAGTCGTGCCTGACTCTCTGCGACCCCATGGACTGTAGCCCGCCAGACTCCTCTGTCCATGGAATTCTCCAGGCAAGAATACTGGAGTGGGTTGCCATGCCCTCCTCCAGGGGAGTCTTCCCCACCCCAGAATTCAAACCTGGGTCTCCTGCTTCAGAGGCAGATTCTTTACAACCTGAGCCCCCAGGGAAGCCCAGATCTGACCCATATAACTCTTTATCTTTTTTTTTTTTATTGTGAGGTCTTTTGCATATGAATGAAATGTTTTTCTATCATGAGCAGAATCGTATGCAGAGTTTAGAAACTATTCCCGTTGTTGGGCTTATGGTCAGTTACCTATGTGGAGGAGGACTACTGGCTTACTTTGGTGGATTTCTCTTCGCCAGTGCTCTAATTGGATGGTCCTTGCGAAACTTATTCTAGAAGAAAGAAATTATTCTTCTGTTGGAGCCATTTTTTAAACTGAAGTATAGTTGGTTTATATTAGTTTTGGGTGAACAACATAGTGATTTAATATTTTTATAGATAATTTCATATTTGATTATTTATAGTAGATTATTTACGTGATTTAAAGTTATTAAAGTCATTGCAAACTAATGGCTTTATTTCACTGTGCTGCATAACACATCCTTGTTGCTTATTTGTTTCATACATAGTAGTTTGTGCTTCTTAATCAGATACCCCTCTCTTGGCCCTCCTCCCCTCCCAAGTAACCACTAGTTTATTCTCTACATCCATGAGTTTGTGTTAGTCGCTCAGTCATGTCCGACTCTTTGTCTCCCCATGGGCTGTAGTCCACCAGGCTCCTCTGTCCATGGAATTCTTCAGGCAAGAACACTGAAGTGGGTTGCCATGCCCTTCCCCAGAGGATCTTCCTGACCCAGGGATTGAACCCAGGTCTCCTGCACAGCAGGCAGATTATTTACCAACTGAGTTACCAGGGAAGCCTTGAATCTGTTTCTATTTTGTTATATTCATTTGTTTGTTTTACTGTTTAGATGCCACATGTAAGTAATAATAGAGTATTTATCTGACTTATTTCACTAAGCCTAATACCTTCCATGTCCATCCACATTGTTGCAAATGGCAGAATTTCATTCTTTTTTTATGACTGAGTAGTATTTCAGTGTGTGTGTGTGTGTGTG